AGCTGTTCTAGATATTCTTGATATAGACTTCAAGGTGCTTAGTCCCTGCAGACCTTTCTCTCTTGGGAGAAGGAAAGAGGACATGTAGGATGGACTATCTGAAATACTAATTGCAGCAATATTGCACTTTCTGAGGGTCTGATAAGAAGCACTGTAGTTTGATTTGCTAGTAAATACTTGAGAACAAGCAGTTCTGAAAGCAAAAGCTCTGCTGTGTGGTTCAAGCGCTGTCCAGAAATCCTGCTAACACAAATTTAATTATACACTCTCCACAAACTTTTCATGTAGCTGGGGACATGTTGACTATTCTTGACCATCTTTCAGAAGAGTCTTATGCAGTCCTTCCTGTATGTGTTGTGAGGAAAGCAGTCTCTAGTTTTTAGGAAATATTATTGAATTCTGTAGAAAGGAAGACAGATATCAACAGGAAGACTGAGCCCTTGCTTGAGAAAGATGACTTGCAATTTCAAGGAAGAGAACAGAACCTCAGAAGTAAAAAAGGCATATTGAAATTTTTAAAAAGCAAAACTGAATCAGAACATGTTATGTTTGCAGCTGCTGGTGTGTGAAACTTCTTCCACGATGTGATAACCAGCATGAATTACCTTACTGCTCATAACAAATACAGATGGACAGATATCAGGGTGAAAGGAAGGCCGGGGCATTTGCAAACTGACAGAGAGAACCTTCCATCACATGTTGCTTGGAAATAAATGACTCTTAATCAGCTTTTCTGGCTTTCTTTATCTTCAGGAAACCTATAGAGTTAATATTCCTAGCAGAAAACAAAAATGCTTTAAAGAAATGCATGTTGGTTTATGAGAATCTGTCTATATTTTAAGGACGTTGTCTAAAATGCTAATGTGTCTCTTTTCATCATGATTCACAGAACTTGTGGCTTTCAAATTTATCATTTCATCTTCCATCATGGGACTTGGATTACTCCATTCTTTGTCCCTTCTCCAATGTTATCAGTCAAGAAGTTTGTTGTTCCCAGCCTACATGAAAATGATACCTTTATTCCTTGCTTGATGATCCAGTTACTTTTGAGCCAGGATTGAATTCCCTGCCTTTTACATGCAGCAGCATCTGTATCAGTGCTAGATATGAAAAGTCTCCCAAAGAGAAGATAATTCACTCATAGCCTTAAGTCAACATTAAAAAGAAAAAGGGATGAAGAAGGTGTTTCTAAAAAATGTGTGGAAAGATAATATTGTGTTTTCACCCGCGAGTGATGTTGGTATCTATGTTCACATAGTAAATCATTGGAACTAGCAGTCATATAGGCCAAGCATTAAAAATTAACTTCTGTATTTTTATTATGTTATGGAATAAGCAATGCAATACATTCCTTACTTTCACCTTGTAGCTACATTTCTAAAGGTTTGGTTTGCTAGATGGTGGAGAAGGGGAATTCAATGTCCCTGCAATCTGTGCACTTTGCTACAGTGCGAGGACTTAGAATGATCTTCCCAGGAGACGATCAGCTGCAGGGCCAGCTAAGCAATGCTCATGAATGCACTGAGATAAGTTTGTTTGCTGTTGCAGCTCCCATTTGGCTGTATAAGATTCAATAATGCATTTTGCTGGCATAGTCACTCCTTCAGTTGATTGGTGTTGTCACGCCATGACCCTGAGATCCTATTACTCAGAGAGATTTTCAAAAAGAGAAAGAATGTAGAGACCTATTAATTTCATAGACTAAAAATAAATAAAAGCAATTTCAGAAAAATAAACCAAACCCAGAATGTGCTCAAACATCATAAAATGGTGTTACATGACAGCATGACCCTTTTTACTTTCACAGGATGCATTCAGGAAGGGTCTTATCAGTGCCAATCAAACTCAGACAAAACCCCATCAACTGTACTGATGAGCTATTGTTTATTTATATGCCATTCCTCCATCCTAAATTAGCAGAACGAATTTAGATATTGCCTCGAGTACACAATGCAAATCTTTGCTTTTCTTCTGTCCTTTCCGTGTCAAACACCACACCAACAAACTAATCATAAAGAATCCCATTAATAGGGTTTGAGTCTGGGGAATATAGGCTTCTATTCCTCTAAATACCCTGAGGGTGTTGATTCATTTACATCCATTAAGTACTTTTCCACAAAAGAATCACTTTGAGTAGACTTGATCCCAGCACTGACCTCAGCTTCATGTGGGCACTGACAGGTGAGGAATGCCAGGTGGATGCTGTTGGACAATTGCAGGCTGTTGTTGAAACCAATTTTACAACTCCCTTTCCCAGCACTGCCATTTCCAAGGGCTCCCCTCAAAGAATGTTATGGCAGGACAAAAGCCAAATAGTTTTAAATAGAAAAGAAAGCTTATATTTTATTTGTTTCAGATAATCCCTAGTGGACAGACTTGTGAGGAGCAGATTTGCAACTGGCCTAAGCAGTGGCAATCTTTAAGCTCACTGAACTTGTGAGAACTAAGAATTCACAAAGAAGTTCTATTTGGATTTTGCTGTGTTAGAAAGGGAATTTCAGGCTCAATCAGCCAAAAAGGTTGTGGGATACAAATGTCAAAATTTGGCCTAGAAATCTTGGTCCTCCTCCTTTAAGTCTTCTGTTTAATGGCAAAATTCACAGAGATTTTAGCAGGATAAACACCATACCTGAGTCTAGCATACGTGTTGTGGGGATGCTTGTGATCCACTCTGGGGCCTGTGAAAACTGGGTCCATCAGCCAGTTTTATCCATTGGGGTGGATCTGAAGGGTTCTGGACATCTTGCAGCTGAATAAAGCTATTTAAGCTGAGCTCGTTAGAGGCAGGTTGTTTCCATTTGGACAGGCAAATGGTGATACTTGGAGTCAGCACTCACATGTTAAATTGCAAGGGGTTTGTAGGGCTGACACAAAGAGCTGTGCGGCATCTTGGAGAGATGTTCTGTGCTGTTATGGAAGATGGTACAGGAAACAGTAAAGGTTTTATGTTTTCATTTTCAAATTGAGCCCAGGGCTTCATGGACTGAAAAAGTAGGAAGATATTTGGCCATCAAAAATGCTTACTAACACTTACTGCTTGTTTTAGAAAGCACTCTGAGAAATTCCCAAGGAACAGAGACATTGCCTGGGGGAAGTACATGTTTCTGCAGGAAATGCTTTTTTTTTTTCTTGTACTAGAGCTCCTTGAACGTACTCAAATGTGATGGGACAGTCACAAAACCTAAGACAAAAGTACTTTTAAGATGTGTATCTTGTTAAAAGAGCCTGGTTCCTGGTGGGCTGAAGACCTGGTTATCTTTATGCTGTCAGAGAGACTCCTTGGAAAATCAGTGATAATCTACAGGAAGGAATTACAGCTTCAAGGGAGAAGTTGTGTTCTGCAACTTGATCTTGCATACAAAGTGGTATAATGAGCATGGACCTGAGTAAACTGCCTTCAAGTCATTCTGTCCTAGCATACTGATAGACTTTGTGGACACTTAGCATTTTGGATATGAAGTTTTATAAACCTCTGATGATGGTAATTTATCTATTCACAGAATTTATTGAATTTGTGTTGTGGGTATTGCGGGTCTTTTTATCTACTGTGGGAAAAGCATAAAAAATAACAGAAACTGAGACACAGTCAAAGGCCAGCCAAGGAGAAAAGCTGCCATAGAGACTGGTGGATGATTCACAGTTTTCAAATCTTCCTTCTCTGTCATAAGCATTCTGTTTCTTGAGGGAAAAAAAAAAAAAAAAAAAAAAAAAAAAAGAAAAAAAAAAAAAGTAAAATCATTGCTGTGCAAAAAAAAGTTTCAAGAAGGAAAAAATGTTTAGAGAGTTGACTTGGCTAGAATTTTCTTTGCTCATATACTCTTGATATATCAATGCTTAAACTTTTTATGTGTGAATTAAGGGGGGACAGGGAATAATCAAATGTTAGTGAAGGTGCCCCCATCTGTTTCATTATATGAGGGTGTGAAGATGATCTTTAGCTCACACAGTCCTTGCTCTTTCAGTTGCCACGTGGTCTCACTGCCCAGATTTCACATTCAAACCAACTGTGAAGAATTTTTTTTCCCAGAACATGCAGGAAGATGGTTCCCAGCAGTCCCATAGTCCCATCTTTTTTGCAGAAGGCAAATATGCAACATAGCCAGGTCTTTATTTAAGTATTCCTTTCATTAAGACTTGGGGACTCTTTTACTTTATTTATGAAATAAATGCAGGTCAGCCCCTGTCACCCACATCAGATGTACTCAGTCCCTATTTGAAGAGCAAAAATGTTTTTCTCCAGTGCCCTGCCCTCCTCCTACTCTTAGTGCTCCTTGGAGCACTCAAAAACATCCTCACCAAAAGTCATCTGGCAAGGTCACCATCTGGGTACAAGAGAGGACAATGCTGTGTCCTCTGTCCCAGCTGTGTATCTGGAGTTTAATGATGTCTGACAACAGAGCATCTGTGTGCCTTGCTGTTCTGGAGGAACCACATTTTACTCCTACCACCACTGGATGCCATGGCCCAACTTACACGTGGGAAGCTGTGGCCTAGAGGGGCTCAGTGACACAGAGAGTGACAATTGAGGTGCATACTCTGTCATGTCTGTGCTGGAACAAAGCATAGAAACTGCTTTGCTGATCAGTTGGAGCAGGGACATCCTTTGGATGCTGGGGAGTAATGGACAGAGATGAGAAGGCAAGATGTAAACAGATGTTGTGCTAGTGCCCAGAGACTGGAGTTATTAGGCACTGCATTGGACTGAGGACATTTTACAACTTCTAGCTCCTGAGCAAGCTGTCACAAGTCACTTTAGTGCATCTGCACTGAGCTTCATTGTGTGGTAAGAGTCAGCTGCTCTCTCTCCCCAGCTCAAGCTAGTGACTTAATTTATGGTTTGTCCTCACTCTGAATCATCCTTACTTAAATCATCCCATACCAACACACACTGAAGTCCTTGCAGATCAGTAGCATTTTGGATTAAGACTGTTATGAGCCCCTGATGATGCTGATTTATCACTGTTCCCACTCATGTTGTTTTTCTGTGTTCCCCACTGCAGATCTGCGCAGGATGACAGCTGGCTTCATGGGCATGGCTGTGGCCATCATCCTCTTTGGATGGATTATCGGTGTTCTGGGGTGCTGTTGGGATCGAGGCCTTATGCAGTATGTGGCAGGGCTTCTCTTCCTCATGGGAGGTAAGGATGGTGGTGTTTGAAGAAATGCATTTTTCTTGTTGTTTTTATGTTCTCTCTTTCCACATGTCCCTCCTTTTCTAAGTCACTGAAAATATGTTTGCAGAGCTTTTTACCTGATCTGGACTTGGTTTCATTCTGAGCTCCTTCTGGTGGATATCAAGGATCATGCAGTTATAGCTACATTTAACATCCATCACAAAACTTGTCTGGAGTGTCTGTAACTCATGGTAGTAGAAAGGGTAATCTGAGTTTTTTAGTACAGTACTCCCCTGTTGGATGTAACACTGTTACTTAGTAAGCTCAGTAATAAAAATCCAAGGACTATGCAGATGTTATTCCCACCACTATCCAATTCCACAGTGGGACACTTTGATACCTAGAAAGTGTGCTGAGTGTTATAATCTATATCTCTTACTCATCAGTGTTCTTGAGTCAAATGTAACCTTTAGTTCATATTTCCCTTTCTTTGCTGTACCTATGAGGAGCATTCTCTGTTTGCCTTTTCCCACTCTACATATACTTTCTTGTAGACTTCTCTCTGTAAGAACAATTATCAATTTAGGAGCCTTTTCTCCCACTGTTCCTGTTTGTACTTGCCTTTCTCAAATATGGACGAGAAGGACCCTTCCCTAACAAGGTCTAATCAATGCCTTGTATAAGTAGTGTGACGGTTTCCTTCCCCTGCTGGTGATTCTTTGCCTGAAATATTTTGTGGTTGTATTTGCTTTTTTCATGCTGAATGTTGTGGTTTGACCAGGAAGTGAGTCTCTGGGAAAGTTGTGGTCAAACCAATCAGTGGCCAGATTTGAAAAGTGGCACCTGGTGTGGCCGCTGGGGACCTGGATACACCTCTGAGAACACACAGGAGTTAAAAGCAGAGGATTCCCAGAGGGGCTTTCTCTTTTGAGTCTGGCGGTGAGTTGATCTGACCTCTCCCCTGCCCAGCTGCGTCTGGCTGGGGGAGGGAGAGGCCATGCGGCCTGAGGGAAGGGAGGCCGGAGCCCCTGCGAGGTGCAGGGGTGGAGGAGCTCTGGGATGTTTCAGGCAGCTCCCCCTCTGGGAGAGAGTGATAGAGGGTCTGTGTTGGCTTGAAATTTGGTATCTTGTGCCAGCACCACAGCCAGGAGAAGGAGGGGGGGCGGGGGGCAAGGTGCCCAGCCGCCGGCAGACCGCGGCTGAGGTTTTAACCCCTTTGGTGCTGAGACAATGGAAGCTGGAAAAACACTGATACTCCCCAGCTGAGAATTGAGAGGGGATGGAGGATGGGCAAATGAGTTGAAGTCTTGAGTAGGTGAAGAAATATCAGCAGATGAGAAGTGCCCTAGATGGAGGAGATGATTGGAGTGGCCTTTTCAGCTACACTTTTCTCTTACATGGCCACGGGACGGAACCAATTTCTTCCTGTAATGGGAGCCTGCTTTGTTCTATTTCCGGGTCACATCTCACAGTAACCATTTTGGAAATACACCTTTCATGGGAGCACTGGCACTGTGCCAGGGTCAATCCATGACACTGCATCACATTGGAGACCCACAGTCATCCTGCAGTTGGGTGAGACATGCAGACCTTTCTCCATCTTTGTACTTTCTTCCTGATACTCTCCCAATTTACAGCAGAGGTTTGGTTTATGAATCCCTAGGTACATGCCCTGACACCCTGTGCTTTTGAACTTCTTCCCATTCCTACTACACCAGCCCTCAAGGTCACCCAACATTTCCCATGTAATGTACCAGCCTTCCTTACTACAGATGCCATCCAAATTTCTCTTAGCAGCAAATTTCAAGGCACAGTTACTTGAAATGAAGGGTGTGAGAGTCAAATCCCAAACACAACCCTGGGTGAATGTCTCAAAGTGAACACCACTACTTCTGTTCTCTCTTCTTTTCTCTGCTGCTGATTTTTGTTTAGCTGGGTTTTTGCCCTCCAGGCAGATCATCACTTCAGTGCATTTTATCATCTGTTTATCTGTACTGTGGTGTGACACAGATCACTGTGTGACATAGAGAAAAGACTCTGTAGTCCCAGAAGAGGAGTTAAGTTCTGGAGTAACAAGTATTTGTGTTCTAGTGGTGTTGTGCTGGTGACATTAGACATCAGTTCTCTCTGTGCCCACAAACACATTTGAAATCTGCTAGGACCTTGTGTAAGCACACATTGGTCTTCATGGGGATGTCTCTGAATTGTTTGTTGTGGGTGTCAAAACATTATAGGCAATGGCTTGCCAGATGAGCTTGCTATTTCTTATTTATTTAAAAGTCTAGTTTGCACAGGGGCCATTTTGCTCTCATTTGCTCAGATATCTGCATGGTATTTAACCTAGTACAGCCCAACATTCAGATTAAAACATTAAGAGTATACTAAATAAGTACAGAAAACTTACATTTATTAGAAACTAGCTATGTCTTGTTTACTATTCAGAAATTATCATTATATATGGGCTGGTTTCCAGTGCAGCTGCAGAGATTACCTGTTAGCTCAAGGTTATTTGTGAGTTATTTGAAAGATGACTGATAAAGTTCCAGGTGAAAAGAAATTCAGTTTTAACCATATGTAGTGGAATGGGTCACTCACAGCTTACAAAGCCATCTTTTGGGGTGCTCAAACAACACATATTTTAGAGGAGATGGAGCCAAGGTCATGCAACTGGGAACAGCCTCAGTCATCCCCATGGAACAAGCTGCTCCTTCTCAGAGAGCAGTGGCTCTGCAAAGATCTCTGGAATTGTGGGTGCTGGGATTATCCAGCTGCAGAGGAGCTCTCAGTGCAATGCATCTGCTAAATGTGTTATTTTTTATGGAATATGCAATGAGACCATGAGGTGGGTTTATCTCTGGGCTAAGTAAAACTATTTCTGGACATCCTAATCAGGTGTCAGTGCTAAAGGAGGATGTGGAAAGAATGGGAGAGGTTTGCAGAAGAGCTACAAAAGTGTGGTTTGAAAAATAAGAAAAAGACAGCATGCCACAAAAAGCCAATTGCTTGAAACTGTTTACCAGAAGGTTTATAATTGACTTGAACACAGAGTGGAAGTACCTATGCAATGGGAAGCCATCTGATAGCAGCATGCTCTTTGCATAGACAAAATAATAACCAGATCCAGAAGCTGGAACATGAAACTAATTGAAATGAGAGGCACCAGATTATTTTATCTGCCAAATTCTGCAAGATGTGTAATATTATAAATAAAGATGTGCTGGGAGGAGATCAAACTTATTTTCTGCTTCAGTGCAGACACGTGGATCAGTACTACCCAAAGGTTACCCTCTTTCTTGTTTTGCACAAGTCAGTAGCAACTGCTATACTGATTTCTTTTAACAGCAAGTGGGTACAAAGTAACATCGACAAACTGAAGCAGTCAGTTAATAAAATACACAACTAGAGCCATCTAATCTAAAAGTCAGTAGCTATCAACGTTTTCAGACAGTATCATGTGTTACACAGTCATTCCTTTTACAGCCAATGAGTATTTTAATTTAAACTTTTTTATTGCTGGACGGTGTTTGAATACAAAGCTGCTGCTTCTGTCATGCCATAAGTGCTGTCAACATATTATTGTGCTGTTTCTTAAAATGCATAGAGACAGAGTGCCTCTTAGTTTTTTTGCCTTTTTCTCAGGTCCAATAATGGGAAAACTGCTTTGGAAGGTTTCTGCCATCTGACTTCATTGCAGCTGAGAGGAGACTGTGTTCAACTGGTAGCTATAGAATCAGACTGAATCTAACCTTCCCTTCCATTTTCAACACCACTTGTCTTGGCTATGTTTGTAGCATTTGTTCGGTTTTTATTTCTAGACAAACAGGTCTTTTTCAATGCTTAAACATTGCCAGCATAACATATCTATGGGTTTTTTCCCTTATTGCCCATAGTTCTTTGAATAGGAAATCTCAACAGAGCACTGAGAAGAGTGCTGTAATAATCTAATAAGACCAGACGTGGTTTGCTTGGACCTCTGGTTCTTTATTATATTTACCAAACAGTCCTCTTGCTAACCTATGTGGCAGTGCCTCATAAGGAGTTTACTTTTCTTGATCTAATTTCTCAAGCAAATTGCTGAAACAAGTAGTTTACGAAATGCAGGTCATTATTTGGTTTTTAGCTCATTTGGAATCCAGGACATGTAAACTATTATTTAGAGTCTGTTTTACACTGCTATTCTGCATGTTTTATAACAAGCTAAAAATTATTAATAATTCATCTTTTCTGTTTAGTCCAAATGTATCTGTATCAACAGCAATCACAGATCCCTTATGGCTTCCACAGTTCTTTTCCATAATTTTGGTATTTATTGCACAATTTATACTTGGATTCCTTTTCTTGAATGACAGTGTTTGCCTGACCACAGCAGGATTTTTTTTTCAGTCCCTCATCTTCTACAGAGCCAGATGGATACTGTAAATTATGTTTAGCACTTTTTATCTCACTGTGCATGATGGTACTGTTTCACAGTCTCCTATACCTAGAATTAGACTATTGTTACATTCCACCACTGTCAGCATAATTTTACTCTGCAAGGTGGGAGAGTTTCCCTTTTTGATAGTTTCTTCATATGGAATCGTGCTCTTAAATTTCACTGTGATTAGTTCATTTTATTAATCTTACTTGAGACTGTTTAATTCTATTACAGAAGTGGGTCACACTCAAATTATACATGACTCCAAGCACATCCTCTTGCAGGTTCTGCACATCCTCTTGCAGGTTCTTGTGTTTTCTCTTCATGCAAATTACTGAAAATCTCTGAACCAGTAAAAGCTCCAACCAGTAATTTTGTAATTTTATAATAATTTCTGGAACCTTAGGAGCATCTGTAACACTACTTCCAAATGTCAGGGTCCTGTGGCAAATGTGATGCTTTCATGCTTATAAAGTACCTAGTCTAACAGGAATTCAGTTAAACATCTACCTGAGGAAATGCATGTGGGATATTTTATACATTGTGTTTTGACCAAAGCAAATTTATTTGCACCAAAACTATGCCTTTGCATTTTCAAGTCTAGACATGG